CATTGTTTTTCATTTGTCATTTTACATTAATTAATTTATAAATAAACTCGTATATTATTAAGATTGTAGATTATGCGTGTGCCCACTATGAATTTTAGATATTGTTTGCGTAAATAAAAACGGCAACAACCGATCTAGTTTATCCAACCATTAATTATTATTTATTTTGATCGTTGCCCAGTAGACCTAATTTCGGTCAAGCGCAGGCGGAGTGATCGCTAACCTAGGCTGGGTTAATTAATATTCCGGTAGAAGAAAGTTCCATAACCGCATAAATTCCTACCTTTAATCCCGCCACATCGTACAGTCCACAAATTAATTAATGGGCGTCGAGGCAAGCGACATATAATTATCCACGCCCTTCCGTACTCTTGCACCTCCATAGATACATGTCTGCGGTGTTCACCCCTTTTTTCATGATTCCGATCGAACTGTAACGAAATCACAACCCCCCCCCCCCCAATCAAAACTGCCGTTTGCCGCTGATTGACTGCTGATCGAAATAGTTGTGGTCACTTTGGGCTGTTGATACGACGTTCGTGAAACGAGAGGATCATATCAACCATGGACGTATTTTAGGGGGGCGAAGGGGCGATCGCCTCCCACTGAATTCGTATTTAAATAATTGATTATATGTGAGATACACATTTCAAATTTTTTTAATCATTTTATAATGAAATCAAATTACGCATGGCTGTGAATACTGAATTGGGCTTTTTGTCGGGTTCATACTTAGTGAAAAATCAAATAAAACACAAGCGTAACTTTCAAAACACAAACAGATGTTGAAAAAAACTTAACGAAAGTCGATTTTAAGTGGATCCAGCATTAGATTTAAAAAAAAAACCACAAATATCAAGGATTCACCTGGTTTAAATATTACCAAAAATTTTACATGTAAATTTTGAGTCTCAATTAAAGAAAAAATTTGAGTCCTCCCCCTAGAAATAAGTTTAAATACGCCCCTGGTGTTTACGCGAACATAAATAATCATGGCGATTGAATTGCTACGACGTTGAATAGTTTTTACGTTCCGCGTCACAACGGTACCTTTGCTTCGGCATTTTTCCACCTTGAACGCACACAATCGGTCCGCTCGCCAAACGCCGTCGTCGATTATCGATAAGGATAAAACTGGTGAAACACGTGATATTCTTTCCTCCGTCGTCTAATCCGTTCGACGCGAAACAGTTATCGTTTCGATTAATTTATATATCTACCGCGTTCGTTCAGCACATATTTTATTCAATTATAAACATAACAAGTACACGGTGTATGTACGCGATGTGATGTTAACGATAAACAAATGTATATATATTTATTTTTTTTTAACTAAGCGAATGGCGTCAAAACATAATTTTTTATCTGGATTGTCGTTCTCATATTTTCACTCGGCTTACGAAAAAAAATGAAAAATAAAAAATAAATAATTACACGACTGCGATTCAACAACGTCTCGAGAACTCGATGATGAACGGCTTTTCTTTGACAATCGATATACCTCCGTACCTATACACCGTTTTTGTTATTATTTTTTTTTTCTCTCGTAGTCTCTTACGTAAATCATTTCGATACATCAATTCTTAATTCTTAGTACAAATAATTATACAATATTATATACCTATATATGTAAAAAATAAAAATAAAAAACGCACAAACGATTCTTCGTTCACTGTAAAACGTCTGCAGCGCTGCGACGAAAGAGTTGATGATTTTCAACTCGAACGTGTTTCATTTAATAACTCGACTTTATGTTTGTACGTCGGTAATTTTTTTTTTTCACCTCATGATTTATGTATGATATACATTCTTACAACAGCATACGTCACATATAATGCGCGAGTTACTTAAAGATAAATTAATTCTAATAAGGGTGCCAGTGAGGTTCTGGTTTTAAAAATTAATTTAAATTAGCGTTTCAGTGAGATTCCGGTTCCCAATATTCAAAGGGTTCCAGAACCGGTTCTTTTCGCTACGGTACGTAGTTCTTATGGCTGTGAGTCGTGTAGTGAAAAAAACCGAATTCGATTATCCTTTCATTGATTCAGGACATATCGCGATGAATTCATCCTATACATCTCCGTTGGACACCCTGCGCAATTACTGCAGTAGTCAATTGAGAGTAATTAACGCATCGTTTCCATCGAACAGATCGGTTATTGAAATCTTCGTCTTGCGATACGTTATAAAATGTCAATCAAATCCGACGTTCTATTGATAAGAAAAAGTTGCTATCGAACCATTGAGAACGTTATACCTTTTTAGCCGAACGACTGAGAAAACTTAAAATTAACAAAGAACTTACCGCGATGACTCAAAGAACCTCAAAAATTAATACGATCGAGAACGTGCAATGTTGCATACTATTTATTACTTATCATTTAACAAATATTCTTGGAAAAAGTTATACGTTATATAAATATGTTTAAAAAAAATGTAAAAAATGTAGAATTATAAAAATATTTAATAGATATGTAATGAAAAATGAGTTATCTATAAATTAGTTATAGCGAGATAGCGTATTCCAACGTACTCTAAATATTTCTTGTGCCCTTAATTTTCAGAATAAAACGATATTTATCACTAACGACCGAATTTAATTATTATTGCAACTTTTTATTGATACCCGGTAAATAAAATCTGATCAAATATGTATACGAATTAGATTGATTACTGTCGTCTTGTTTAATTTAATAATGCAATTTTTTGCATTTTTCAACAATTTCGCAATTTTTGCAATTATTACAATTTTTGTATACTCCGCGTGATAAAATATACAAATAATTATTTCCAAAGTGATTTTACAAAAAAAATATAACTACAACGTAAATTTTTACATGTAGTTAAATGTAGTTTATGATTTTTAAAGTTATATTTATCTGAGTTATCCACACAACTCACAAGTTTAGAAGAATCAAATAATCAATTACTAAATAGTTTAAACATATTTAGTGAAATTGAAAATATTTCTATAAATATTCCCGTCCCAATGGAAAAATAGTAGATAAATTAAAATTTCTCAGAAATAATGAAGAATATTAAACTATTAAACTTACTCTGAGATTATGACAGGAAATTAAGATGTTTTTTTTAGATATAACACCAAATTTTTTAAATTATTTTTTATATGCATCGATAACGAGTGTGGACGGTGAACGTACTTTTTCATTATATAACATATTTTAAGTAACACACAATACAATTTTCAAGAACACAATTTAGAGATGTATATAATTTGTAAATATTATATTAATGTCCATAATATTATTTGAGTAAGTAATTAATGATTATATATTTGATATGATTTTACTATGTAATTTTTATGTATATTTATTATTATATATATAAATATATTTATACTGCAATTTTGGCATCTTTTTAGTACAATTTTAAGATATTTTTAATGCAATTATATCCGGTCTTTATTTATCACTATCTAATAATACTAGACAGTGGCGACGCGAAATATTTTACTTCATAAATCCTGTTAGGATTTTGCCCACCCACCCACCCACCTAAAAAGAATTTTTTAAAAAAAGGGTAGCTTGTAAAAGTAGCTCCCCCACTATTCGTTCTACATACTACATACCCACTCGATACCCAATGGTCAATACCTACCCACCTACCCACCCACTGACTCAAAAATCTGCCGTCACGCCGCCACTGATACTAGATCTTCACTTCGTTCACTTCGTGTAATTTTAATTTCATTACTTTCCATAACTCGACGAATAGGAATATGCTATGTAATATAATTTATAAACTGACGAACACTTCGTTGACGTTGGTGCGACAACTACAACGCCTGCAGGTAACTCATATAAGTATTTAATTTGTTAATAACATCCGGTCAACCCGATAAACGTTCCATAAATATCAACCGTATAATAAAATTAATACAATATAATACATAGGTACACTTCACGTAATGACCATTTGTAAATCGTTCAAAATTTATTGGAAGAACCCAATATTTCCTTTTAGTCTGTTTTTGTTTTAGGTATAAATAGGTTAACGAACTAGAGGAAAAAACCTCATCTGGGTCCATATTTAAAAAAAAACTTTGTGAAAACAGTATGCAATACGTCTTTACAACTTTACAACCAAGTAGAATCTAGAATAATATATATATATATATAAGTAGAATCTTAGGTGCGGACGAAGAGTTTGAAAAGTTTAAGGAGCAACTAGAGGGGGGCTATGGGGGCTTATCCCTCGGATCATGAATTAGGCCCCCCCCATAATTATTTCATGTTATACACGGCATACCACATACAGCACACTTAATTCACAATAGTGTCTCAAATAAAAAAAAGACATATTGCTGTAAATCCAACTTGGCTCAGAATTTAAAATATATTAAAATACTATATAAGAGTAAGAGTAACCTACAGGTTATTTTAAGTTTTGGTAGGAGAGCTGTAGTCCTCCCTCCCAGATGTTGTACCCTAGTTGCGCTTATGAAGTAGATATAAGTTAGTAAGACACACAGTAAATGATAAAAAATTTTTAACGGACGTCATATCGACGCTCGTGCGCCCTCTCTAGTGCGAGCATTAAATAGTACATCCATCACAACGCGCGTACTTAGTGCGTCCGTGTGGCACCCCCCCCCCCCCTAGCCAAAAGGTACAACGATCTTAATCGTCCAATAGCCGATTATCGTACTCAAATTATCGTTCGATTAAATTTGGCGTCGTTGAAAAAAAAAAAATATATCGAGCGCTATTGCTAATCCACGATCGAGGTGTTACCGAAAATAACGTTATCAATCGTATTATTACGGGAAAAGGTAAATAACTTCTAAGCATCGTTACGTGCATAGTAAGACTGCGATATTGCTGTGTAGTTTGATACTTGACGGCTCTCAGGAATACCGTGCCGGATATACCATATAATAAACGTACACCTCGGGCATTGTTTCCACATATTATTTATATTAGTATTTTAAAATATAAAATTGTATAACAGTATATAATCATTAAAAGAAAATCGTTTTATTAATATTATAATCATCGAGTGTCTCGTGAACATTTACTAATTTCAAACGGTTTGGCTACTGATGATGTCCCGGCCAAATGAAATTAATGAATTTTCAAGAAATACCCTGTGTGTACAAAATTATTTAGTAATCATAAGTTAATATATAAATATTATCTAATCATCCGAAATGCCTACCGCCATAAAGTCTAATTATGTATTTTAATATTATAATTGCTCGTACAAACTCTCGCATCAATATTATTCGGTTTTTAGATTAGCGTCCATCCCATGATATTGTATTACATGAGTTCAGTTATAAGAGCAATGTATTGGTATGATAAATCCATTTCCTACTGGACGGACGTTACTTGTATAACGTTAAATTAATCGTTGATGAAACTTAAACAGTTTTATGGTACATGGAAGCGATGATCAGTTGTTGAATCTGAAAAACATTCAACTCTGGTCTCAGACCGTGTTTATTTCAGGAGTTATTAACCTTCCTCCCCCCAGAAAAAAAATGTATACCCCTCCGAAAATTTTTTTTTTATTTATTAATTTTTTACTCCCAAGGCATACCGCATATAGCAACCCCCCCCCCCCCAATAAAAAAACGGTCTGAAATAAAAATTGAACTATAACAACTTTGATCACGACTTGCAAAAATAGTGATTGAAAACGGACTGCAGATTTTTGTAACGGAATGGAATCGTAGTTAAGAAATAATTGATATTTTCGATAGAAACTACACGTAAATCGATCAATCAACTGAAAAAGCAGTCGGTAGTCCGAATTTAGGTTTTATTTCAACAGACTGAAGAACTTAACGTTAATTTCGATAAGGTCATATGCTGCGTGGACATTCTATGCGGTAAACACTCCGGTGATTCGTGATATTTATAGTATACCCTATAAACCACCACTAACCATGCCATATTTTATATTTATCTTTTTAATTCCATAAGAAGAACAGGCGATTGCGGCCGATTTTATAACCAACCGGTCAGTATTTCTCCAGTGACTTTCGATTTTCCACCGGGTTTTTTCGGGCTAGCCGATCGTTTCGGTGATTCTGGTTTCAAATGTTTATCGTCTTTGTCTTTGCCCGAGGCTTTTGATTTACCCGCATCTTTCGACTTCTCAGCATCCTTAGCATTATCCACGTCTTTTGACTCGTCTGTGTCCTTTTCTTTGTCCGCATCTTTCGCTCCACCACCTGCACCCTTTTCGTCGTCATCGTCCTTCGCTTCGCCACTGACGTGCTTCGCTTTATCCGCATCTTTTTCCCGGTCCACTTTACTTACTTCCTTCGCGGACCCTCCATCCCTTCCGGATCCGATAGCACCGGAACCAGACGTGGATGGTCGCGGCACTTCCACATCCTTCGATGTCTCCGCGGACTTGTGTTGTTCCAACTCTTTCGCCAGCGGCTTTGCAACGTCTCCGATCTCCACCTGCGGCTGCGGCGTCGCACTCGCTGGTTTTCCCGTGTCTTCTCCCTTGTTCACCGGGCCCGCCGTTGACGGATAAGGCAGCGCCCCCGCCACCGGCGCTTTCCGCGTGCTCTTCGGCCTCGGCCGCGCAATCGATCCCTTCGTCTTGGTCTCGTCCACCACGTTCACGGAGGGCGCGTTTTCGAACACTTCGTCCGCGCCTATCGTGTTCTCCTCGTACTCTTGCTTAATCTTCGGTATCTTAAACTTTGCGTATGCCACCCGGGCTGCTGGCGCGATCTCCGCCAGCAGCGGGTTATACTCGACCAGCTTATTCGCGTCCATCGACATCAGGCTGTCCTTCTGGTGGTCTAGGATGTATCGGCGAACGCTCTGCCGGTGCCGTCGTTCCGCGCCTTCGGCCGTGCTGCCGATCGGGTCCCTGATTACGCTCTTCTGCCGCACCATAGCGTTCCAGTCCTTTTTCTTGCTGCCTTGGCTGGTTCGTCGCCCAATCGCCTTAGCGATCTTGCTGAACACGTCCTTCGGACCCTTATCGTTTGACGAAATCGCGTCCTGTATCAGCCCCTCTACCAGACCGATTTGGAAATCTTTCAGCAGTCTGCGTTCCATTACCCGACCTTTCTTGCCTTGAGCTGTGCAAAAACAAAACGAAAATGTTAAATTTCATTTAAATATGATATACGCATGTCGCGGCTCCCTGTTCAAACGTACTATTGCACTATGCCCTGGCGACGTTTAAATCGGTGAAAGAGAAAAAAGTGAAAATTTGCAAATCTCAAAAACAATAAAAATGACACTTTTAAATAGTAATACAATCATTATATTATAATGGATATGCTTATATACAGTTCAATATACATATATATTGCTTATTTTTAGCAAGAAAAACCGTGAACATTGTTGGTATAATCTCCCAAATCATCGAATCTCATATATTTTTTATTCTCATTATTTTTAAATAAATATATCTTAAAAGGACATATAACTAAAAAAAATTATTAACTTCTGAACAATCAGAATCACCGGAAATATGTTTTGCCTTACAGATCTACGTTTTTATGTACTCCAAAATAAAAGGAAGAAAAATTGTCCTATGCATAGGCTCTATATACATGGGTGACCGAGGGCTAAGGCACCCATTGAAACTATTATGGGGAAGCTGGGCACCCATTAGAATATTGGATATTTATAACGTGTATTTATAATCTCTTAAAAGGATTCCTATGTATTATTAAGTTTCATGAAATGTATCCATCGCAATTCCATCTTTGATTATAATAATGTAAAGATAATAGAAAAATCCAGACAAATTCTTACCGACATTCGAATCGTGTTCCTTTTTGGGCGTCTTGTATCCATTCTGTCTGAATATGTCAACCATCTCGAATCTCATTGACGATATGTCTTGTCGTATTTCCATCACGTCATCCTCTGTTATGCCGAATTCTTCGGTCTTGCGTTGTTCCGCGGTCACGTAACGTCTCACCAACAGCCGCATAACAATGTCGTGCCGGGCTAGCGCTTTTTCCCTGCACTTGAACTACGAACATGAATCAATCGGTACAAATAGATCGATCAACATTTTCCGCTATGAGTTGTATAATAAATTATTGATAAACTTTACGTTACGTACAATCATCGATCCGGACGTCCGTTTGGTCCGCTCGAGACCTATCATGCGTTTGACGTTTTTCAGCGATGGGAACAGATTGAACGGAAGCGGCACAGTGTCCCCGTCCTCGAAATACGAGATCCACAACGAACTGCGTGCAAACTTCCATTCCATGTCGGACCGTTCCTAAAGGCGAGATAAGAGTGCAAAACGTCAATGTGCCCGGCGAAAAGATTACTGTAAACTCACCGAGATTATCTGATATGAATTCGACATCATAGCGATGAGCATGTTTAGCAAAACGATAATGTTGATCACCGAGTACGATCCGAACAGCAGTAGACCCCAAAACCTCGTAAAGCTTTTAATTCCTGTGAGATCGAATGCCGTTAAATCCACCAGACCAAAACCGGCCCAAAACAGCGACTGCGATGTTTCAAATATGCTGAGGAAAACGAAAACCTTATAAGACTGTACTACAATATAAATACATTTTATTGATCGAAAGTTTTTGCAGAACACGATTGATGTGTAAAACGCAATTATATCGACGTGCACTTATTTTACAGAAAAATCGGTTTAATCTCCGATGAAATATTAAATATTGACAAGTATCACGTAAATTGTATTCGTTATTGTATTGGTTTTAATAAAATATATGATTGTTTTCCACTTGAACGTGAAACATATTTAGTCCCAGCCCATGGACAGGACCGGCGCTACAAATTGCGGGGCCCCGTGCAAAATAGTTGAAATAAAATAATACACAACAATTAATGTTTAATATACACCCTTTATTTTTTAGTTATAATTTTTATTTAATTAATTATATTATTAACTATATTATATTATTAAGTAATTATAATTTTTAGTTAATATACAATAAAATAATATATTATATTATTTATTATTGATTATATATTTTAGAACGATTTTTTTCTTGACTTTTCGCTTGGATCTATAGTTTAAAATATTATATTTTCATTAATAATGTAATATTTTCTAAATTATAATATTTATTCAGTAATGATTTGTTTTCCACGAGGCCCTATTCAGGTGCACCGGTTGCACTGCCGTTGCGCCGGCCCAGGAATACGAATTATGGTACCAAATATTTTTATAATCGTATTAAACGGCGAGTACATTTTCCGAACGAATATCTTATTGAAATTACATCGAACTATAGCATGTCAATTAATAACGCATGCAAAGTGTACGAAACGATAATTACATTACCAATTTATAATGTTTCGGGTAAGGGCTGTGGTTTGATTTCAAGCATACGAAATACGTGATATCTCAATGTGTATATAATAACAATTATATCAAAGAGAGAGAGAGGGAGATAGAAAGAGAATCAATAATGATACAGCAAAATTCCACGCACCGTCATCATCATTACCATACATCGGTGTTAAACAATATGTTATTTTGATTTACGTCTGTAGTATGAATTGGAGAAAACAGTTCGTACATAGTACACCTAATACCTTTGCTCATAGGATGAGTTTGCAACTTTTGTAATTTATATACTTATGTAACATTTTCAAATGTTGTTGATGTTGCAATAAACTTATTTACGTTACCTATAATATCATCTAGACATACACGTATCTTGGGAGGCCCAGGTGGACTGCCACCCCCCCCTTAAATTTCATTATTCATTTATAATTTTTTTTTTATTACGTATCAAAAATATGATCTGTATGTGTAATGAAATTATAATTTGTAACAGTGTTAGTTGGGAAGAACGTAAGTGACATCATATTGTATCGTTTATATATTATATAAGCTTTTGTACACTTATTATTATATTAGTGTTTTTTTTTTTTTACCTATTATATTTGATTTATTTTTAAATTGATTTTAAAAGGAGTGTAATTACAATTATTTTAAATATATTACTATCGATTACAGTTGAGCTCGTTATTATTTTATACGTGAAAAAATTTTAAATAATCGGTGTTATTATAAACATTTGCAATTCGTGCTCAACTGGATTTTCTACAATGAACATCTTAAGTTCTTATGTGCGATAACGTCAAACATAATAATATAATACAGTGCACGCATAATACAATATACACAAGTGTGGGTACAAACTTGGCGAATCGCCTCCACGTCGAACAGGCTTTCTCCTCATTCCCGAAATCGGGTAAGTCGTTGTTGTCGTGGTAACATTTTTTCGATTCCAAGTCCGCGTAATACCACAGCAATTGGTTTAAACCTAAAACGAAAATCATTCGATCAACACCACGAGGTCTATAACATAATCATCGCCAAAAGATTGATTTTTTTTTTTTTAACGTCAAATACTACATTTCCCTTCGTCTGTACGTGTAACAGTCCATAAGACATAAGTGTAAAGCCCGATAAAATGTTGGTATTTATAAACAACCATAGCAGCATAATATAGATACATGTTTGACATTTAGTCATTGTGGATCGAATTTTTTCAGGAATTATTCCACTTGAGAATATTGTATTTGATAGTAGCTCATGATTAAAACTTGAAAAATTATTACGAAAAAAACAAATAAATAAAGTAGATGACAAGTATGGTTGTGCGGAAATGATTTTGAGTCGCTAAAAAACTGTAAAAGGCGATTGTTCAACGTTAAACGAAAAAATCAACCCGTAAAGCACAGTAATGTACTGGTATTTTTTTTTTATATAATATAAAATTATTACCGCAGCCGAAAGCGCACAGCACCAGAGTGTAAATGAAGAAGAACTTTATAATGTCGATGATCATACGACCCAGCGATATCTGAAGCGGTCCCAGGTGAGGGTTCACGCTGAATATGTGCACGAGCTTTAAGAAACTATAAAATGCCAACGAAATATTAGTGTAATCTGAGAAGCCCTAAACACGCGCATAGCGATGATCCTTGCATAGGCTGTAGACGGTAGTGTACATGGTTAGCCTAATTGTCATTAACAGTGTCGTTTGACGGGTTGCATGTTTACAGCTAGCTTATGCGAAATCATACGCACTCTCCGGAGTACGATTTAATGAAATGTACAAACGAGACGTCAGTTGTAATGAAAAAAAAAACGTAGAGATGTTTTCGAAATGTTCGCGAAACAATAAGAATTTTTATGGCGATTTTATTGAAAGGATTTTGACGAAAATTTTATGGCGATTTTATTGAAAGGATTTTGACGAGAATTACGAGTAACTACTACTCTTGCACCGAGTTTAAACTATATTCATCTATTTGCGTCTTCCTAGATTGCCCACTTAATTTTGGAAATTATTATATTATGGAATTATTAATTGAATCATTATTTTATGGTGGAAATTGGCGCACCATTTGTTCACTATAAAATACAAACTGAAATTATATTTATTTCGTACCTACACAAAGCTCTCGTTGTATTATTAATATATTAAACCTAATCGATATAATTACGACAGTATTTTCTCACCTACACATACCAGGACTATTAATATAACGTACGAAGGATGTCCCCTGCAAAAGAAATAGCTATATCTCCTGAGATAATGAAAACCTGTTTTTAAATGATTCGCAGGGACAAGGACTACAAATATTGATATTTTAATAAAATATATGTATTTTGGTAAAAATGTCCTTTATTTTCAATATTTATATTTTAGTTAATAATAGTGCATATTATACAACTAATCAGAAAACGGGTTAAATTATAATAACATAAAAACACTATTGTCTATAATGTTTATGAATATACGATTTTTTTTCCAGAAAATCAGCGTACCTGAATATCATAGCGGCTGCGAACGCTCCCTCGGACACCAAGTGAGGGTCGAATTTGTCCCAGTCTTCGCGTGGTAACCAAGGATCGTACCCTTGACTGTATTCTCTCTGTGCACACACATCGAACAGTTATTCGTTTACGTTCGTGAAAAATAACATTTTTTTAAAAAAAAAATCAGCCGTTATATAATTTATATATATATATACACTACACGTACGCAGTAGAACGCAGCAAAGAGGCTCAAACTAAGAGTATTAAAGTCGATGGAACCATACGAAAATAAAAAATAATCTTTCCTACTATACACACATGCAATACATGTATGCAAGTCATGAAATAATATGCGAAACGAATACGACCAACGAATTAAATCCTTTGTGGTATAAATAACCTATGTCCGTTTCGACTTTGACACAGTGGCATGGTCAGAAATTTTGAATGGGGGGGGCCTCAACTTTTTATAATACAACATTATAATCAGTATGCATTATGAATTAAAATGTAAAAATTATAAGTAAACCAAGCATAATTTTTGTAGCATATAACATTTATTAAATTAAAATTATAAAACCAAGTCAAGTTTGCGAGGTTTTTTAGCAAGCTCGTCAAGGACTTCTTCAGCTGAAAGTGGTATATTAATTTTATTGTACAACGTTTAAGTTAAACAATTTCAAAACTCAAAATATGAGCACAATTGCACAGATAAAAACAAATGTATATAAAGAATAAATTATATAATTATAATTAAAATAATCTGTGATGTGATATTATATGAAAAATTGATAACTTGAGAGTTATATTTTATGATTCGTGACTTTAGGAACTAATTAGTAGGTAGTTACCACGGTCTCAGAATTATAAGAGTTAATGTAACCAATATCAAATAATACAGACTAATAAAGAGAAAATGATACCTAATAAATAAATTGTTATAAAAAACTCAGAAAGTACAATAATTATAATTATATGTAGGTAGCTAATACATATTATATATTTGTCAAGTATCCATGCCCCCCCCATCCCGAGTTTGAATCCCCCACCCCCCCCCCCTGAGCACGTCTATGCTTTGACGAGCAGAGTTCCTTGATTTATTTTTGTTTCGATTGATACAATGGTCAAAGCGCAAGTGGTCAAAAGCGGTCATTCTTCAATTATCTTCTACATTTCCCATTAATATTATATTATTATTATACAGTCTACATTTACGCATATGATCCTTTCTACGGTCAAGGTTTTTTGTTTTATTCTTTCGCTCTAGCAGATCTCAATTATATGATTTTAATATTGATTCATAACAGATGTTTTTCTAATACATTGCAAATAGGCATTTATTATTGCCTAATTAATAAAACAATATAATCAAAATTAAATGCAGTAATTTTTAGAAACGCAACTAATAAATTACGTATGTCGTGAAGTTTCAACAAAAAATTGACATTCAGAACGCCAATAGACAATACCTAGATAGGAACTTATGATGCGTTATTTTTAAAATTGCTCATTCAGATGCTATAATTCTTTGTACATTATTTAGTCTTTGTTTTAATGATTTGTAAATTTAACTCGCTAAGTCCAATAGAACTCTTTTATTGACTTATTACAGTTTAATTGCAATCATATTAGACAAGATAATAATTTTGCATGCTTGTAACATTGGCTCAGAAGCAAAAATAAGTTCTAAATAGTTAAATCTATATGTAACAAAACCATATGTGTGCTCCTATCTTGGATTAATTTTATTATAACTCCCATTATAGATTTGATTTATCCTGATTACTGTGAAGAACATAGAAATATTTGCCTTTTCTTGACCATTTTCATTATGTTTGTTTGATTATAGTATTTCAATTATTTTGAAATTTTAACTTATTTTATTTTTTAAATAATTGTATGGACTACCTACTCATATCTTATTTCAGTTTAATTAAGGTTGTAACAACCAACTAAATTAATATAGCATAATACAAAAAAATATAAACATTTTTAAACAACATTAAATATAATTACTTTATAACACCATTCTTACAATATGACTTAGAAAACTTAAAACTTACAAGTGTAATGATAATCAGTCATTGGGAGATTGTACTAATTACTAATTCAATTTAGCTCTAAAACAATACAATGAAAGCTTTTTTTTTTTCCACTATTGGTGAAAAATAGTTTGTTCATAATATTGTTATTGAATAATACTGTTAATGACTCTACGTTCTTGCTGAGAGTTAACAGATAACAGTTTTATAATTTTAAACTTTCCTATATTGTACATTTTAGAAGATCATGCGAGTTTAACCTTAGAGTAAAAACCTCAATATCAAAAATATTCAATAAGAAATGTAATAGAATGTAGCTTTTTATAGACTTTGGTGGTATCATAAAACTCTATTTAGGTACAATCTACCAGAACATAACAAAGAAACAGTTGTTTGAAAAAAAAATTACAAAAAATCAAATATAATAAAAAATTTATACTATGGTACAAGTTTTAAAACATATTAAAAATGCCAAGTAGTTCTGTCTAATTCGTATATATCTTGTAAAAGCTCTATTACTTTAACACCGACTTTGTTGGCAATTTCATTACGTTGTCTAGTATTCAAACATGTAACAAACATCCAAATGAGATCACCATCAATTATTCTCTTTGCTTGGTTCATTTTCTCTGGAGCAGTCGCCTTGAAACTGCGGTACGCTTTAGGATTTAATCCAGCTAGATGCGATATATTTCGCACCAACATGTTCTGCAAAGTGAGCAATCTCCTATAATTTTTTTCATGTATTGGGACAATATATCCGATTGAACCATCTAAGGTGACATACATAGTAACATGTCGTTTATCAGAGCCAAGAATCTCTCGTCGTTCAAATGGTACTGTTGATTGTTTACAACGGAGTCTGAAGAAAGAATTCACATTAGATCCTATATTGAAATCACCACGGCGAATCAAATGTTGACCACCATAACTCTCACGAGCCATTGGTTGATAAAGATAGAGAAGCAAATTTTGATCTTTATCTGAAGCCAAGAAACCAAGTTCTGTATTATCAATAAGAAAATTGATATCAAACACCTCTAATGGTTTGGAATCACGACACACTAAAGATAGAGTACGGTATTCTTCTTGAAATCGCAAGAGAGTAATGGATTTAAAAAGATCAGCAACCAGTATCAAGCTTTTAATACTTAACATCTGATGAACATAGACTTCAGTATCTATAAAAGCTATTCCAATTAAATCATTGTCTTTAAGTTGCCAAATGTAAATTTTCTGACCAACAGCAGTCACTAAAAATCCAACGACATGGGTAATAGCTGTGACTGGACCTTTTTGTTCTTTGGCGTATATCATTTTTATCTTGTTCTTAGTCAATGGTTTTCCAGGCTCTGGGACAACATCAATGATATCAAATAAGAATATGCGCCCTCTACTCGTGATATCTTCTGAATAACTATAATTCGTACCCATTGCTATGTAGCCCTTAAGACCACTACGAGCTCCCTCATATGCCAAAGCAACATTTTTCAAACAAGTTATATATTCCCAATCTTCAGTCTCAATACTTGTATCTGGTATTGGTTCCCAAGATGCAGGGGAAAACAGCTCCAGAGTAAAAACTTCATGACTAGGTAGTGGAAATAGAGGATCACGTTCTTCTGTAGTCAGTTCTTTGTCTTCACCATTGAATCGGTAGTAGGATGATGACTGTTCAGATGAAGAAGTCACCACACAATAAGTCTTTGTTTCCAAATGATAGGCTATAAAATGTGGTGTCTTACGAAGCGGAACCTAAATAAAAAGTACTATTTAGTAAAAATAATTATAAGCTAATTAGTATATTAGTTAGATTCTATAAGAGTAAATTCTAAGTAATGTTATCTTGTACACCTAATATACGTACACCTATTTCATATACAATGGCTTAGGTAAAGATTATTTATGGGGGTGGGGTTAATATATTTAGATAATAACTATTTTTATTATTACATATTTATTTATTAGCTGAGATTTTGACAATGGAGGGGGTTTGAACCCCCAAATTCCTCCCTTACCTACACCATTGTACAGAGTATAACTATCTTCATTGAATCAGACTATAACTATTAAAAGCTATCTTAAGAACAACTTTATTTTAATTTCAAAATAGCTCTAAATGACATATTTTTCATTTACTGAAGATATTAAATTCAAGGAATTAGAAACCATAATTTTCTATCTCTGTAAATAATACATATAATATAAGGAATTAAATATTTTCTATTTCCAATGTGATACATCAAAGAGATGATTTGAATTTGTCATTACATTTTTACTTTACTTTTTTAATTAATTTCATTCACAGAAGTTAAAAAAAAAGATAACTATATCAATTAATAAATTTAAATTTATTTTTGTTGGATTTATTAGAATTTAATTATAAATGTCAGAAATTAATTTTCAAGTAGACCTAAGAACAAAATCAAATTAGTATTCAAAATTCTTATTAAATTATTAGATTTTATGTTACACATGTGATGGGTAGACAGAAAATTATTATTTCCAGTCCACTCAGTTTTATTTTTTTTGTATACTAATCCATACATTTAATATAAAACCAAACTTTTAAAATAATTATGAGTAATAACTGAATATTAGATAAATGTTCAACTCCTAAAAGATGCAGCTCAAAATATTTTGTGTATATGCAGATTAACACATACTTAAAGTCCCCCTTTTTATTTTTGATTATAAAAATGCATTTCAATTATTTTTAAGTAAGAAAATAAATAATAATAAATTCTTCTATATACTCACATAATATACTATATGTGTGTGTGTGTGTATGTGTGTGTGTGTGTGTATGTGTGTGCATGCGTGCGTGCATGTGGCATTATTACATTACAGGAAAAATTGAAATATTATGTAAAAATAAATGAAAAATATGTAATCTAATAAGAAATATTCAAAATCATTAATGAATATTAAATTCTATAGTATGATTCACTTAAAAAAAAAATTAAATATATTTAATAATACCTTTCTCAATGGCCAAGGTTCATCATATGATAAATGAGTAGGTAATATAGATATTCTAAGTTTGTGTTCGGAGTTAAAGTATAAAAAACCTTGTGAGCAGTTAATATTGTGGAAAGGTGCAAAACAAGTAATTGGTCCATCTATATGCAATGGATGACACCGCAGTTCACCACGTACAGTGAGTAATACTAAATGGGGATTTTGTCCACAAATAAAAACTCCATTATATCCAGCTACTTTACTAAAATAACGTAGTAATGAAGTTCCTTCCAGACGATTACCCGATCTTGTCTGAAATGTTAATAAGGAAGTTATTTTATGAAAACGCATTTTCAATGTACCTTCTGAATGTCGATGAACACCATAAATTACAACCTGTAAAAAAAAATAGATTATTTAATGAAAATAATAAATTTTATAATACAATATATCTACCTCATTATCTAATCTAACAAACATGATTGGTCTTTTGTCTTGATACCCAAGTGGTACAACCAAAATTTCTTTTATTGATTCAGTTTTTTTAGGGAAATAGCAACCTTTGTCTAAACTGTCTTTGAGAACCATAGGTGATTCGTCAATATCAGCAACTCGATATTTTACAGTAAAATCAGGCAACGTGTAAATTTCCATGTAACCATTGTCTCGTGTGAGCACCACCCAATATGTTGGTACTGGCTGTTCTAAAAACTTTAACCACCACAATGTATTTTTGTTTGATACAGAACTATGAAAGGTTTCCTTGGACGAAGGATCTCTTGTGTCGCCATACAACATCTCTTCTTCATCTTCTATAGAATCACTGATAAAATTATCATGTTTTAATTTTGGACCAATCAAAGGAATTTCGGCTTGAGGCATAGTGTATGAAAACAGACCGCTTACATCTCGATATACAGTTAGAGTTTTTATTGGTGGTATTTGATCAAAGTTTGTGGGTTTCATGAGTATGACCTTCCCTGTTGGCTTAACAGTTAATATTATCACTTGTCCATCTTCAGTCAGCAATACAGCGTAAGGATAACTGCTAGACGCATGCACTATTGGAGAACCAAATTCCAATGAAACACTTTGCAACTGTTCAGAACCGTTAAGTAATCTCACAGAGTTTCTTAAAACTTGCAAAATAAATTTACTCATATTACATACAAAAACAGTATGTTCTTTAGTGGCAAAACCTGATGAATCTAGTTCATTGATTTCTTTTTCAGTTTGAAGGATTAGAGTTGAGTCTGCATTCGTTAATATCATAAAAGTATGGAAATCGTCTTCACCATGAACAGTCCACATATCTTTATAGCCATCTAAATGAAATGTAGTGACTAGCTGAGGTTTTATGGAACGATGTAAAACACTTAAAGCTCCATTTTTACCATGACCGGACGTACATAATAATTCCACATCATGTTCATCACTACTAAATTCGTCCGAAATATAAGCAGGCTCACCTAAAGACGCTTGACTGCATGGTCCAATGTTTATAATACTATCACATACTTCAAAACTATAACTTTCTAAGCAAATCGATGTTTGTACTTCACTGCCATATACTTCTAATTCAATGAGATCTTCATCAGTTTCATCTGTTTTTTTACGTTTAATACTAGGCTCATCATCGTTGCTTTGAGACCGTGCATAGTATCTCAGAAGTAATGAATTACCAAGTCTTGAACCAAGAAATAAATAAGAATCCAAACACACTGTTATACATGTTGTAAGAACACTAGAAGCACATTTTTCAAAATGAAAACTTCTTACCGCACGCATGCTATCAGCATACAGTGTGATTACGTATAAATCACCGTTGCATAATGACGTTACTAGTTTATCACTAGCTATGAAAGTGGCGGTTGCACGGTCCAAAATCAGATTAATGCCTTCTTGCTGTCCCAAAGGAAAGTTAGTCATTGTCTTGGCAATTGAATTGAGAGCAACGCCAAAAGGAGGTACACTTTGATTTAGATAAATGAGCGAGTTAACAGCTGTTATCAGAACACCACCGATTGGACGAGATACAGGGATGACTTTTTGACAGTCGTACGGTAATGAATCTAAAGACCAAATGACCGGATGGACGTGTTGTTGAATATTTAAAGAAATGGCAACCTGAATAAAACGAAAAATGTTATAAAAATAACGTTAATGATACGTTTAATTGAAAGACTTACCATTGCGCATGTGTCTTTTCTCACTGCTATACGTCCGGCAAAAGTTTTCACCGGCTCGTAGAGAATGAGTAAAGTCGGTTCATAATATCCGTGTAAGAAGTCGAAATCCATAATGTTGTTCATTTTGGGATCGATGGAAGATATTGGTATCGTGTAGCTGGGCATGACTTGAGCACTTTTAACGTTATCGTCGATGGTGCGGCCGAACGGCAGGACAAAGAAATAACGGCCGTAGACCAGGCCGACCGCGCACCGGCCATCGGGATCGACTCTGATCAACGGCGGCGACCAGTGCTGAGTGTGGCCGTCTTTGAACTTGTCGTCCTCAAAATAGTGCAACGACAACGTGCGCAGACCGTGCGTGTCGCGATCGTACTCGACCAGGCTGAACTTGGCCTCGGAGAAGCTGAGCAACAGAGCGTCGGGCGAGCCGGGGCACAGCGTGACGGACTGCATGCACATGACGTTACCGAACAACGTGTACTGGGCCAGGCACTCGAACTTGGTCTTGGGCGGTTGGCACGTCGTGTCGGTCGGCACCAGCCGGTACACGCGCAGAACGTTGACGCCGGCCACCACCAGACACTTTTCCACCCGGCTGAAGAAGTGGCAGTAGACGGCGTGCTCGACCGAGGTCGGCACCCGGATCTGTTTGCACATCGAGAACATGGTGCCGTTTGAAGAAGATTGCACTTCACGCGCGCGGAGATGGTCGACGGTGTTCAGCTGTCATAACGGTACGAACTCACCGACCGCCGATCCGATCGTACATTCGATCACGCGGTTCGGAGCGCACGACGAGATCGATCACCGTTTCGTATAGATAGTTCGGTGGTGTCGAGTAGTTGAGTTCAGTGGAGACGTTGTGCTCGGCCGCTCCGTGTAAACGTAAACATATAAATGTAAACATAACCTCAAACAAACGATAACCGTCACCGGTCTCGCCGATCGGCGCGACACGTCCACTACTCGCCACTACGTCACCCGCGTTCGGTATGTCAACATCGGTTTTAAAACACGACCATCGACGGCCGTCGAAAAATATTTCTCCCACCAGCCAAAACGTGTTAAAAAGTCATGGTACACCGTGGTGATGGGTACGCGGCAACGGCGTAGGAGGTAACAATTATTTATGGGGGCAGGACTTTTCGATACACCTATTTAGACAATGACTGTTTACGGACAAATGCGAGTCCTCACGATTACCATTACACGGGAACAGGGCCGGCGTTAGGGGGAGGCAAAACGGGGCATTTTTAAGACGTGCAATGTGTGGATCGCCTGGCGAGTGCGAATTCTTCAGCAAATCCGTTGGAATGTAATAACGTTTATTTATAACGAAACAACAATATTATATCATATTCGAAATACGTCACGTATGTACCAACGACGGTTTGTACGGCACGCCGCACGGTATGGAATCCTATAAAGTCTATCTTATCGCATTTCTTAAACATATTTAGTCATTACGCGATATCGTATGCAGCTGTCCCCGAGTCCGATTACATATTTATCACCTTTAACTACGGCCTACAAGCTATGATGACTAAGGTTATTGGTGAAATAAGTTTTGCCCAAGGCCTCGCAAAAGTTTTGCCCCAGTTCACATGAAATAATATTAACAACTCTTGTTATAATCAATACATATGTAAATATATGTAGGCACCAACGATTAGATTGTTACGCGAATACAAATCACAAGTGATCCATCTTCGGTTGATTGTAAGACATGTGAAAGGCAGAAATCGTGAATAGTCCAGGGTTAAACGCACAGCAATGAGCACAAGCACAAATATGAAATGTACATGTACATGTGTATGATAAATCCTTTAGAGTGTGCAAATACTGTATTAGCAGTGAAGAGAAAACGAACAACGAGGAGCTCGCACGAGATCGGGGTACCTACAGTGATGTATTACTAAAATAAATCATGGTATACGCCCTATTCTGTGTAATAACTATCATATGGTAGGAACCAAAAAAACTCACTCGTGAACTACACATCCTCAATTATGAGTTTTTGATAACAGAAATTTATTATTAATGATAATAAATTTGAATTTTTCATTAAAAAAAAAAAAAAAGAAAAATAATAATAATAATATATCCGATACCGAATTACGTCATAAATATAACCACAAGTAAGGTTAGTCAAGGTATTATGTAGTTATTTGTCCAATTACAAGCTATACGCTTTATACGGCCGTAGACCTGCGTATCATCAATTTCTCATAAGCTATACGCTATGGATAAAAATAGCGTATTAGGTATACGCTAGGGTTGCCATACGTCCCGGAAAACCGGAATTGTCACCGGTTTTGGACTTCGCGTCCCGGTATCCCGAAAAATGTTTTCGGGACGTCCATATGTCCCGGCTTGGACTTTAGAGGAAATGTAGTATTGTTTAATTTTTAATTTCGACCATTTTATCTCAAGTACATTTTTAATACTTAATCGATTAACAATATATAATAAAAACATAATTTGTAATTTACACATTTAAATATATAATATATTATATTTTACAAATTTTTTTTTTTGAAAATACGTTTCTAACGCCCTCACGCTAAAACCATTATTTTAAACCATTTAAAAAAATTCCTAGAGGGGGATCTAATCTCCACATCCCCCCTTGTATACGCCACTGATCCTCTCAATATATTAAAAGTTATATAAAAAATATAATACTCAACATTGTGTTTGTATTGTCCCGGTTTCGCCTTATAAATATATAGCAATCCTAGTATACGCTGTAAACCCTCGTATACCCTCCAATACATCACTGGGTATCTACATAAGAAGGTTCCGAACAGACCAGATGTGTTTTATGTTCGATCGTAGCAAGGTACCTTCACGCAATTTTGTTGTATTTAATAATTTAATGTTTCAGACTTTTATTTACTTATTTAATGACAATAGTCGAACCAACAATCGTAACAGTTGAATGTCTGATTTCAATTACTATCCTTAGTCTTTGCCAAACAAGTAATTTAATACTGGGTGAAGGGGCGTCATTTGAGGGGCAGACTATGGCAAATGCCACACTCTAAGAAATTTTAAAAAGTCGGCAATTCTTTGTCCGATGATCAAATACTAAAATCAGTAAATAGTACATTTTTATTTACTATTTTATACTTAGAAATTATATAATATTGTCTTTTAAATACACGTTCACGGTTTATTAAAAGTTGAGAAACACTGGCTCCTCCCCGGTTTATGACAATCGTTACTACGCGAACTTTATAAAATTTATTTTCGGTATATTATATATTTCTATATATGTGATATATAGTTGTTTTTTTATATATGTGATCTTTATAATACAGTTTTCGTGATACCAATACCGTAAAAATTGAGCTCATAATCTATAAAAATCCATTAAAATCGTCCCTATTCACCCCTACATTATATTTGAGATACAATTTTATGTTTTTATAAATAAGTTCTGTAAAGTGTTAAATATACAAATAATAAATTTATTTATAAATAAATATTATATATTTGTATATTGTATATTTATAAATATACAAATAATATAATTGTATTTATTTAATTAGATTTATATTATTATTCCATTAAACCTATTGATAGGTAACTTATAGCCTATAGGATAAGTAAAAAAATTAATGTTTTACTATCCTTAATGTTATTATTTAATTGGGTAAATTGAAACGTTTTATGTTCTTTATTTATCATCATGACATCATTATTCATTACTAATCCGTACATGTTTTGTTCCAAACAAATATTTTATTGATAGTTTAAATATTATATAATATTTAAATATAATATATAAATATTAAATATTTAAATATATAGGTAACTATAATTTTTTAAATATTTTGAAGTCGGCAAATTTAATCAGTTGCCCCACCCTTTCAAAAATTGAAATAACACTCCTGACTTGATGCAATAAGAACGATCCCCCCTTAAGGTGGTATTGTAGTAACCACGAATTAATTAAGATAGAAGATATACACCACTTTATTCCACATTATTTAAGCCAGAATAATTTGAATATTAATCGCCCCTCTAAAATCAACACTTTTTACATGCCTTTAGAAGTACTTTTTATTCACGTGCCTGATCCTTGCTCATACATTATTATAGATTAATAAATTGAAACTTCAAAATATGATTAAAAAATATTCTATAAATGTCCAAAAACAACGAGCAGATAGAACACCTAAATTTTATGGTCAATTTAGTGACATTTTGATTTTTTTTTTTAATTTAAATGAAAAACATTAATATTCAACTATGTGTTATCAGCAGGGCTCGGAAGTTTTAGCAAATACATATTTTTTTTGGTTCATCCTAGAACATCCAAAGTAAGTTACAAATATGTTTCACACTACTCGGATATCATGCACAAAATTTAATTTTGCTATTTTTTGCATATATACGGTTTTTATTGCTATTTTGCTAATTTAGGGATTATAGTACTATGTTTGGGTATATTTTCACATAATACAGGAAATAATCACATTTTGTTGATAATAATGATTTAATTAGTTATAGTATAAAAAATATTTGAATTATTGTAAATAAATACACCTCATCCAATATTATTTTATGTTTTCATTGGCAATTTGATGTACTAATATTTAGTGACTAAATAAAATAATTTAATTATAAGTACGCTTTTACAAATATATTTAAGTAATTTAACATTTTTGTTAAGTTTATAATACAAGCAGTCCAGATTTTTATGAGCCCAAAAATTTGTAAAATTACATTTAATTTTTTTTTTTAATAAATTTATAATTTTTTGAACTTAAATGCATATTTTTTTGTTTTTTCGTGCTATTTATAGCGCATAATTTAGAGTTTTTAAGTGCATATTTAAGAACTAAAAAATAACATTTTTAGTGCTACTACTTTCGAGCCCTGATTATCAGTATTAAAATTACGGAAAATAGTAAACTTTCGTTGATTTTACATTTTGGTATGGCTTGATGGGTAAGTGTATTTGAAAGAGTATTTTTGTTAACATCATACTTATTTATTTTTGATACTTAACTAATAAATAGTATATAAATAAGAAATTTTCGAAAAAAAAAAAAAAGAAACAATGTAAATTTAATCTATATTGCAGTGATTTCCAAAATGTGAAGTGAGCCTCCCTTGGGAGTTGCTAGTATTTATTGGGGTAGGCACTAGACAAATATTTATACTGTATATCACACTAACATATATATTTTTTTTTAGATTGATAATCATTTGCTTATATTTAAATAATACAAAAATTTGTTTTATTTATTCATAAGAGCCTTGATTACATTTTTTTTTGTTTTGGGAATACATGACCCTAAAAATGTTGGGGACCACTCTTATATAGAAACGATCTAACTACACAAATTCGTACTTGATATTGTTTAGAACACGTGAAAAACCTGCAGCGTTTCGAATTTTTTTCCTTAGTTATTTAGTTATTCTCTTTTTTTCTTTTTTTCGAGGGGAAAATCAGAACCCGAGGCCAATACATTTTCTCTACAGTCTATATTGAATAATATTGTAAGCATAAATTATAGGTAATTGCTAAGTAATAAAAATATTTTTCAAAAAAACCAAAAATCCACAAATAGGTACTGTTGACTTCTTTATGGAGAGAATTATTTTAAACAACCATCAAAAAATTTAATAAAATATTATAAGATATACATATAATGTAATAAGTGCTTCAAAAGCTCTACAAAAGCATATAAATCGATTTATAATTTCATAAACTTGACCAGTTTTCGAATTTCTTAAATAATATGTAGAAAACGTCATATTTAAAAATACTGTTCAACATTTCTTGAATGCTCCTAGATATATATATATATATATATATTTATATAAATATTGCTGTGATTTTTCATGTTTTTATTTTTTTAAATTTATAATAATTCAATGCAATTAAAATTTAGAGTTAACTATAGAGACTATTTCTATCTTAATACTCATTGAACTTAAGCCTTTAGAACAGTTGGACATGTCACAATAAATAATGATTTTTCATCTACTAAGTAGATTCTACTTAAATCGTTATCACACGGTACATGTTTTTTGCATCCTATTTAAACACTCTAGGTACTTAAATTTTTTATTTTTAAACCACATTACATTTTTTTTACCCCTGGATTCACTGCATACTTTGTACATAGTATAATAATGACAGAACCAGAAAAGCTTTTTGTCAAATACACATATCTTATCTCCCCTGACATGCTCTCGGGGGAGATATTTTCTGGTTTCTTTTGGAAAATTTGAATTTATTCGCCAACGTTTTAAAACGTTAGTTTCATTTCAACAATTCACTGCTATAAATACTGTCGACCTTTGTACCGAAAATATACATGCGCACAACACGAATATTTGTATTTCGAACAGACTCGACGTGGAACTGCTCTCGGAGAGTGAAAACTTGATGTTGCCGTACACATAAACGCCACGGCGTGATTTACATATTAATACTGTACATAGTTGTACACGGTGAAACGGGAAAACCATTAAGCGGTACAAAATTGCCAAAGTGTCTTTTCTCGTTCCCAAACGGCGTACGCGTAATTAAATTAACCGACAAACTCACCTGCACTATGTACCAGGACGAAAACCGCAAACTTATCCACACCATATAAAACACGTTGGTGATGAAGTCCACTATGTTCCACAAGTCGGCCGCGTATTCCACCAACCCGTTCGAGTACAGCGAATGCGCTTCTCTCCATATCAAACCTGCCAGACGTTAGGTTGTTAATTTTACGTACGGACTAAAAGGACTAAACCTATGGCTGTTACGGTCGTAACGGATTTGTGGTCAGATACGCGAAGATATGAATTGATCGTTTTCTCCGTGAACAAAACCGTCAATACTTTGATCAATTGTTTTTTTTTTCATCGAAACTTTGTAGTTATACAATTTATTTCAACAGTTACAATTATGATAGTGCAATTTGATATCATAAAGTTTTAACATTTTAAGGGTTTAAAACATATAAGAATTATAGATTAACAAAAATAAAATTTATTTAGATAGATACACCAGTCTCGAGGACAAAAGATAAGATTTGGCTTATGTCTGTTTCGGATTTGGTATTGAGAACAGAAAGGGGAAATAATTGAATATTATTAGATTTAAAAATATAAAAGAGGAGAGAATATTTGAAGCATAAAGAAGAACAGACGAAATCAACATGAGAAAGGTCACACGTCGTTTATTCTGAATGTTAAGTACAACTTTTGTAGAAATGTGATGGGAATAAATAATGACCGATCTAAAAGCGATTAAGCTGAATAAATTCTAAATAAATTTAGATTATTGAACCATGTTTTTTCAAATATGTCAGAAATATGTTGTACAGCGAAATTTGGTGGAAGCTTGTCCCAATAGGAGGACCAAAGATGGTTGATATGTTGACGTAGGATTGGTAGAAAGTCAGAAATGGGAATTTTACCAGAAGAAAGCAATGAAATGGTTGAGGTGAATCTCACCAGATTATCAACAATTGCATTGCCAAGGATTCCCGAATGACTGAGATCAAGTAGTCATACTCGACAACCATAAGCGTGCGTAGACTTTGTCCGCAGGGGGGCCTCATAAAAAAAGTGAACCAAAGATTCTTGTACTAAAGACTACTAGTATAATTAAATATTTAAATGTTATGAATTATTTATATAATTCAATATGCAAATATAAAAATAAATACTATTTAAACTTACACAGTTTATATGTAAGAAACCCTTATTTACATATTATTATACTATTTACAACTCCATCCTTCTGTCCATGGGAGTAAGGTTTTTGAATATATCAATGACATCTTCAATTTTTATATTATATGCAAGTTTTGATTAGTCTGATTAATAACTAATAACTTTATTACATTTATTCACAGATATATCAATTCTATAAAATAGGATTAAAACTGGCTTTACTTTATTCATGTAATGTGTAAAACAAAAAATGTTCGCTATCTTGTATAGTATACATACACGTACCTACATTTATTAAAGAAAAAGCCAGAGTCCACAAATGTGCGATAGAATTTTAATTCTAAATCAAAATATTTTCATATTTTTAAAATTATATCTCTGAAAGTCATATTATATAACGCTACGTCTAAATTAAAATAATATAACCACAAAATGCATCAAAATCTATACACTTCAGTTCCCATATAGGTGTTTCATACGTGACGCATTACATGTTATAATTATATTATCTCTACTTGATCTATGTAGCGTGTATGAATCTATTACCACAACACCGTGTTTATTATATTAATGTATTTGGCTAGTTTTAAAAAACATTGTTGAAAAATGCATGTACCTATATGCGTCACAATATCTAATCATACATAGGGAAATATTATGATTGCATCATAAACTGTTTTCATTAAAAATAAAAAAACTGTGTGTTATTATTACTCCCCATTCATTCCAGAATATCTACTCTTATTAGAGTATTTTCAATCTTCTGATACGTGGAACCGGAACATGGTCCGACGAAATTAATGAAAAGTAGGATCCCAGAAATCCTTAAATATAATTGATTCAGAGAGATTTTTTTATGTTTTTAAATTTTTAAATTACAATTACAAATAATGGTTTTTCACAAATGAGAATAACTAAATTAATTATTCATTTTAAATTTATGGAAAGTAAAATTAAAAATATTACTGTGACCATTTAAAATAACGTTCTATAGAATATAAAAATACACTGAAAAAATGATTATAATAATAAATGTATTTTTTCTACATAAATAAAAATAGAACTTTTACAAGTTTAAAAATAAATTAAAAAAAATAAACCATGTTATATCCAATATAACTATCGACTAAATATGTAATTTTAAAATATACACTGAACATTATATAATAGTTATTAATTTTTAAACTGTATAAAACACAATTTTGAATTTAAAAAAACTCCATATTGGTAAAGGTTTCGGACAATCACACGGTCGAATTACTAAAATTATAGAGATTTATTGTTTATAACCTTACTAGATTTCAAATAATCTTTAAAAAACAATTTTCCAAATACTTTTCTATGAAATCAAAATAATAATATATCATCAATGTACTTTAAAAAATGAAATAGTTTAAAGAACCTAAACGTTTTATTTCTCAATTTTCTTCTTATTTTCAATGTGTAGTTGCAATTGCATTCTAAAATTTTCTTAAACACAATTAAAATACCGTTTTTTGACTGATAATGACTAGCCTGTAAGACTGCGGTACTTTTTTTTTTTTTTATCGAACCTGATGAGTTATTCTAATGAAACGTTTTTAAACTTTGTTTTTTTATCCAAATATGTCAATTCGGGTACTATTTGTGTTTGGACATTTTATAGGACTGCTCGTTAACTCCGAGGCGTATAGTAAACGTACTCACTTATGATGTATAATATGATGCCGAATTCTATGGGTCCTGGTATGGATCCTCTCTCTTTCCTGGTCATTTCCTCTAATATAGATTTCGTCCAATCGGTTCCGATCCATTCGAGCGCCAGAAACTCAGCTCTCTGAGACGCGAGCGCTAGCAACGCTGCACAGAAATGTAAACCATACAAACGTCGTGTTCACACGTGACGATATCGATTTGACATCGACTTATCATATTATAGCGTATCGATACAAAAAGCGTGATATAATAGCATGGCTCAGGGATGGCAAACCTTTTGAACACGGCGTGCCCAAAATTATATTTTTTTTTATTTTTTTTATAGAGCATGCCATGAAAAACATATTAAAAATATTATAATTTGTTATAATATAATTTGATTGTATAAATAATGTATTAGCATAAAAAGGTTAATTTAGGTACATAATAATAATAATAATAATTATAATAATATTGCTTTGTTAATTATTTATATTATATTTTATTATATTATTATATTATGGGTCCTATAATATTATATATTATATAATATATAATAGTAAAAAATTTCGCGTGCTATGGATTAGCCATCCCTGACATAGCTGATAACATATTAACGTTATGAATAACGAGTGTATATCGGGGCACGTACTCAAAAAGAACGCGTACGAAGACGAGTGGCAGACGAATTTTATAAACGGTTTCTTCATCAGCTGGCCCATTTTCGATTCGGGATTCAACATGTACATCGAACCATACATGGCGAACATTGCGCCGAGTTTGCCGACTTCAATCATTTGTCCGACCATACTTTTCCGGCGGAAACCCGGCAAACCGTCGTACCAGATGGCGGCCAATAATTGTTGAACATTTGGATGGGCCACGAACTGTAATAACGTAAGAAATAAGCCAAAAAAAAAAAAAAAAAACGATAATTTAAAGCGCGATCACGGTTAAACGAATTCAACAACAAACAAGTACTTTATGATTGACTGATGGTTGAATTAGAAGTATCTAAAACTTTCGCGTGAGGCAATAATTACTGTGCAGTGCAAAATAGCAAAATAACTATTTCGTAAGAATCTATCAGAGGGCTTGAATCAAATCTGCTCACATAACGTTTCTACTACTGCCTGGTACGAAACCACTCTAATCCCACTTAGTATTAACATTATTTCCCAATCAAATGTCATCGGATACGCCTGGTATTTTACTTTGACAAAGGACTTCATCGTAAACACAACTGTCCCTTAAATACAACATGTCACTTGAACCTGAACTCATGACCTTATAGGTCAAAAAATATAAACAATTAATTAGTTAAGGTATTATGTCGACTGTGTACAATGGGATGCAGCCAGCGAATATTACATCTACGATGCTTTCAACCCATTCATATCATCATAAATGATACATTGTAATAATCAATCACTACATAAAGATCTTTAGGTCCAAACAATACCATGCGTTAGCCTCCTGTGCTATCTTTAAAGTTTCCATGGAAACACTATTCTCCTCAGTGCTAATGCACTAATAATCAAAATTTCTACCATAACCATAGTAATACATATAACAGCCCATTGTCTTGAAAATAAATGAGAATTACTAATATCTTCTCAACTCCGTATGTTCACAAATCTTGAAAATGTAGCTTAATGTATGAAGTAGGACTAAATGGAAACTGACTTTTGTCAAACGATCATATTATAATAATTGCTTTTATTATTGTAAAATTTATATAGATTTTAAACCATATTATCCGTTTACTAACAAAGAAATAAGTTGTCATCGTTACATATTGGCCGGTTATAATATTTATTTTTTTATTTATTTTAATCTGTTAAACAGTTAAACACAGTAATTTTACTGTTAAATAGAATTCAAAACTATCAAAATGAATATTTTCATTAAATAAAACAATTTACATGTAATATAAATATTTAATATATCATGTGAATTATTTGATAAAACCATTATAATTAATAGATATTAATTTTGAAAAGTTTAAAATATCTAATGATAAATTGTACTATGCATTTCGTAATACGCAGTATTATAATATCAAACTATAAATTATAATTGTATTTCAAGTTTGAAAAAAACTGTTTTGGTAGTTTTAGAGCATTGAGATGTAGTTTTAAAATGCAATGTTGTAAATTATAATACAGAGCCAACCAAAGAAAATTAAATATTATACGAATGTGAAAAAGAAAAGAAGGTTTATTATACAATACTTTTAATAAGTTTGAGTAAATTGATTATGCATACTGTGTTCTATACGGTCGAAAGTAAAAACTGTATCTATTATTTATCAGCTAATAATAATTCAATATCACGCGTGAAAGGAAAATATGGCAAATCTTCATGAGATTATACAATATATAGTAAATTATACTCGGTTTATGTCAGAGCGCTGTGATGTATATACGAGTACACGCAAAGTATATAATACACAAATAATACACAGTGAGCGTAATTATTACGTGTTTGCTATTTTTTGTGTCCTAAGCTTTCTTAGTATCGTTGTTTAATACCCGCGCGTGTGACGTGTGTACGCGAACAGTGACTTTTTTGTCGCCAAAACTTAACGAGTCAAAAAAACGTATACACAAGTTGTAATTCATTTTTTCATTTTTCATTTTAAGCTCGAAAAAGTATACTTCTTGCAGCAGATACTACTGTTATTGTCTTTTCGAGGATACTTTAAGTAGATACTGAGTAAGTGCCGTGCACTATATTACCGCTTTTTGTTTGTATTTAATGGCCAATTTCAAACGTTCCAGAGTTAGCCGCTCGCCTGGTTCCCACGGGTCACCTTTAGGATTGTGATTTAACATTATCTCCAGCTCGTACGAAGTCCTAACGTGATCCAACAGAGACGTTGCAAATGTCTGGACCGTGTTCCTCATCTCCTGCTCAAATACACGAACAAATTCCAATAATGATTATTTGATTATAATACATCTGTAAAATAACAATAACAGCACATGATTGCACGTTTGTACTGCTTGATAGTCATTTTAACGCGGATCAGACTGTATACAGTTAATATAAATAAAAACATTGTACTCATAATACATAATAGAAAAAATCATTTCTCTTCCTGTCCAAATGCTAAACAACAAGTGAATAAAAATAATAAGGTGTTTGCGCCCTAATACTAGATTTAAGTATACAAAACACGAATAATCGTTTTTCAGGTATAAAATTAAAATTAATTACTCTACCATCTGAAAGTTTAGAGTTCATCATACGTATATAAATAAAAGATATGGTGCAAAAAAGTATAGCGTGACTATGTAAAAATGTTTTCAGGTATACGGATTACTAATTATTGATATTTGGTAAAAATATTCTGACAATTATATACGAGTATTGAATATTCTAATAAGAGTAAAACACAAGTGACCTGTACACACATATCATCCTGGCCCTTGGGTATAACTTGTGTTCTGATTTCCGCAAGAATAATCTATCCACATGCAATTATGTGCATTTTATTTTATGCGTATAATTGATGTTCGATACTCACGTTATATTCGTTTCTGAATTCAGACTCCATGGTGCTAAGCCTGCGAAGCTCCCAACTCAGTTCAAAAGCGGTCAACAGTGGATCTCTTGACGACAGAGCTATGAGAGATGGGGAAGAAAGCGCTTTGTAAGCGTTTATTCTCGAACGCGAGTGACGCAATGAATCTTGTGTACTTGACGTGATGCACTCATCACAACCACACCTGAAACCGTATTGATACGGAAAAAGTTATAATATCGTTGCGTAAAATAATTTGATAATAAAACTACGTGCTCTGGAAAATGTTCCGTTGAACATATTTTTGCCGATCGCTATATGGCCACTCGTTAACATTAATAATTATAAGATCGGCTGAAGATGACGATTTTATATGTGACCGGTTTGATGGCAGTATTCGATACTGTCATTGGCACCGCGAGAGAGGTGCAAGGAGGTTCAGTTGCACCGACCGGGATTTAAAAAATAAAATAAAATTTAAATATGTAGTATAGAGGCTATTATTATCATTATCTAGTAGCCTGCATTACTTTGTAAGCCGTCGAAAAAATGAAAATAATTTTGTAATGCCATGCAATTTAAACAAATATTTCTACGTATTTAACTTAAATAATTTAAGCATTATTTAGAAAACAACGTACATACTATGCATGATGCACCCACTGATGAAATTCCTAGCGGGGCCTATGGATACTGTTATTATACTGCATCAATGGCGATATTTGAATACGAGGAAACAATGTTTATCACTATTTTACTACATAAACATTATGTTACGAAAATTTATTGAGGGAAGAAATTATTTCTCGGGAAACGAGCCGAACCTCCACCTCAGCGATTGTCATTCTCGGTCGAAATCGGTTTAAAAATAACGAAATAAGTACAGTAATTCCTCGTTATCCGCGTTTTTTTTATCCGCGATTTCGATCATCCGCGGTGGGCCCCACGATAACATATTATTAATGCGATTGCGATTGCGATAACGTTTTACCGTTATTACACAAACACTGTAGAAATTTATTTTTGACAATAATTGAAGATGATAATTGTTGTTATATCGCTATAGGTATAACACATATACATTATACATACTTATACTTATTGCAGATAAACCCCAAAAAGTTACCTACACATGCACGATTAATAATCGTCAATTGCTCATTTATAAGGTGATATTTGTGCGTGACGCATATACATCAATAATTAATAAATTTAGTAGTGAAAATATTTTTAAATGGCTTCTCGATATGAAATATCAATAAAAAGGAAAAGAAATGTTTTTTTATTAATCGTTCAAAAAATTGAAATTTTGGACAAATTAAAAAATGGTGATACTGAGCGTCATTTGCTAGAACGTACAAAATAAATAAGTCTAGTGTTCGAGAAATACGTAAAAATGAAGAAACAATACGATAAATAATAAATAAATTAGTTGTAGGAATTAAAAAAAATTAAACCTAACCTCCCTTTTTACATTGATTTATGGTCTCGTTATCCGCGGATTCGTTATCCGCGCAGGTTTGCTGGAACGTAACCTTCGTGGATAACGAGGGATTACTGTACACGGCGGACGATTGAAATCAATGAGCCCGTACGAGTGCACACGTAGGGTTGTTGGCCGCCATCGAATGTACTTTTTCACCGAATATTCATAACGTAATGTAGTCCAAATTCTTCAAAGTGTATAGTTTATTTTTTTCTAAATGTAGTATTTGCGGTATGCTTGACGCGCTATCGACAACTATTATTTCGACAACCCGTTTGCAATCGTCCTGCGCCTCTACAGTTGCGTGGTTGCTCATCGACTGATTTTTGGATATAATTGTTGTCTTTAAATTTTAAATAATGCAAGAGACTTGCAGCAAGACCAAGACTTGAAGTGCAAGACCAAGACCAAGAATAAGTCTGCAAGAACAAGACCAAGACTACCATAGTCTTGGTCTTAGTCTTTGTTTGCTCATCACTAGTCAGTAAAAGCATATTGTACCAGAATTGTAGATGGCCCCTTTTTTGATACATTTATAGCAGCAATTACTTTTTTTTACAATATTCTTTTTATGTATTATTAAATGTGAATCAACTTATTTTTTTGTACCCATATAATGATGAGTATGATAGAATATAAGTATAACATATTTTTCAACATTTGAATTTAAATGTGCATCGGTTAATAATGATTATTATAATTAGTCTGTTTTTTATGTAATTCTTTAATCATATACTCTTGAAACTTATTGATGAAGGGCCCTATATTACAAGTACCTACTATCCTACAAGACAGCAGGCCAGTGGGCCAGTCCGCCCCTGCGTATATATTAAATGTATACTAATAAATATTATACTATGCTTATACATGTATATAATATTATAAATATTAAATATTCGGTTGAACGTCAATTATTGCGATTATCTGCGGTCGTTCTATGATGAACTACAACTACCTGACGTCGTGGGGCATGGGCAGCGAAGCGCCTCTGTCCAGAAGAATCTTTAATATTTCATAGTTGTTCATGTGGGCTGCTAGCGTCAGTGGCGTTATGTCGGGCGTAAACGTAGACGCCGATGGTTCTACCGCTTCCCAAGACTGCGGAAAAAACAAAAAAGAATTATCACCCTCGCGTTAAATAACATTTTGTCAAACGCGGATCGGGGGGGGGGGGAGTCGTGAGGGTCTGTGAATTAATACCATAAATGCAGGAGGTGTAGAACGAAGGAGATCAAACGTTGTCATTTTAAAAATCAACAATAATCAATAAAGTTCTAATTTACTTTTATTGTTTTTAAATTGCGTATTATTTTTTTATCCTTTTGAAAAAATTACCCCTCCCCCACCCAAATTATGGTTCTAGATCCGTGACTGCATTGAGGTAGTATTATATATTACATGTAATGCATATTGTGTAATAAAATGGTTCATCGCCGTGTGCAGTAGAGCACATGTCTAGAAAGTTCAAAAACGTTAAAATTGTGTATTAGAATAATAAGCATCACGTATTAATATAATTATGTAACGTGCATAAACGACAACAGCAATAACGAAAACAATAACAACGACAACGGTTGCAATATACGTAATGGTATATTACATGAAAAAAAATATTCGCGATGCATTCAGTAATAGATTTACAAGTATTATATATAGAGTGTTCCGTGAAAACGATATAGATACTAATTATCATATGACCTATACAAATAATGAATATTTTGAAATTCTATTACTTTTTAGAATTCCATATGAGGACGATGAATATAAATATTTGTATATAAATTACTGGGGTTCGGGACTTGTTGCATTTGCATATTGTTTAATAATGATTGCAGAATATGATATAAATTTGTTTTGTCATAACGGACTGAAATACAAAAATTTTAATTGCATATTTTCGCATGTTTCACCATTTGATGAGCAAAACGCATATTTAACAAAATTTGGCAATTTAATTGTTATTTACAACACATTTACGTAGTTTTTGTTTGAGGTTAAGTAAATTTAATTTAAAGGTTAACATTATTTTTTTTTTTACTTTTATGGCATCGGTTAATGTACGTAATGGTAGAACAAGTCAGGGTAGGGCAAAAAGGGAAATACCTAATTGTTCCTGCGTATACTATCGGTTATCGTAAATCATTCAGAGAATGTAAAAGGAAAATAATCTAGTTTTCATTGCAGGAGATGAAAAAAATTAAATCGAACATACACATTAATATAATGTATATAGAGTGATTGTTGTCAAAAAATACTAATTAAAAATAATTTCTAGATTTCAATGAATAAATAAAATTTTTTAACTATCATTAAAAGAATTTTCGGTTGCATATTTGGCTCATATTTCGATTATTTCAAGTGCATATTTGTAAGCATATTTCCTAAAATTTGTGGACAATAAGTCCCGAACCCTATTAACTACATACTCATGTTTTGTTCAAAATTAAAAAAAAGTGTTTTTTTTAAAAAAAAAGTCAAAAACGCACTAAGGCGATAATCAAAAACTCACATATGGCTCTCCGGCTACGTGTATCTTTTCCTCCCATTCCAGTAACAGTTCCACCGCTTCCACGTACTCTTCCTTGATGGCGTGCAATAACGAGTCTTTCACCTTGATGCCAGCCTTAAGCAATAACTGTATCAGGTCCATGTTTTCATTCTCTATGGCCGTTATTAACGCCGATCTGTTTAACGGATCCGTGCAGTCGATGTTGAGTATATCGGTCTGACCTTTGTGCTCGTCCAGCAACCTGTATGATATGTATGCGTTTGTTACTGCATTACAATTATCATATGCTTAATATTTTACAAGTCGAAAATTTCACTGTTACATTTAAGATTTAAATCTGATAAAAATTGCATACTTGTTTTCAGAAAATTTAATTTTAAGTAGTTTTGTACTTAATAAAACATTTTATCGCTTCAACTATTAGCCATTTTTTTTTTTAAATAATCACAACAAAATAAATTATGTCTTTTATATTTTATTATTTTTTCTTTGAAAATAATGAACTTATCGAAAGTATATATGAGAACTTGATTATGGTAAATATTGATTTCTATAATAAAAGATATAAACATATTTTAAGATTTTTATTACACATTTTTATGCTTAAAACTACTTATAGTTAAGAATAAACTCGAAATACTATTAAATAGTTCTATTTAGAAATATTTAAATATCATGTACTCGTAAAACGGTAAGTAATTACGATAAACTTTAATCAAAATTAATTAAGTACATAAGTGAATAAAATGAAAGATATAGGAAATATTCCAATGTTCAAAAGTATCTTTTAGTAGTATATAATATATTACTGACATAAAACCGAATCTAAACTTCAGTTATATAATTTCGTTGCTTTGAATTATTTAATATTTTTGAAAATTTATTACGGATCGTTCAGAAATCTCAACTCTTGGTTACGATTATAATTGAATTATCATTTTATGAAGGAAAACATTATATTGATTTAAAATATGTAGTATTGCTACTTCGTTAAATTGAATTGAGGTTTTAATATCTATTTTTCTATAAATGTACTGTATTAATTGGAGTGTGAATAAAGATGTTCTCACGCTTCGTAACAGAAATATCTTCGAATTTTCAAAGGAACTGCCTCAAAATCATGTTATCCATACCATCCATTAATTTAAATACTACCATAACACCACTTTCCGATAGCTATTTGACAACACGAATCCTTTTCATTCAAATGAATAGCTAATATTTAATACAAATAAAAATTTTCCACGACAATATTTATATGAATATTATATCAACTTGTTCGTTTAATTTCAGCAAATTTACAACAAAGTGAAATTAAATTGAACGAATGTAAGTAGCGTGGATGATTATAATTGGTCTCGAAATCGTAGAAATTATTGTATCGCGTTTACACATAAATACTTCAAAAGTTGGATTATTAACATCGGTAATCGTTGCTCAGACGTAACGGTTTTTTTAAAAAAATAAAAAAAAAGAAAAGGATTAAAATATAATGTTCTTCTGTGTGTTAATAACAATTTGCCTAAATATCTAATGACACTACTAAAGTCAAGAGCAAAAGAAAATATTCTAGTGCTATTTTCGACCATGGGTTCTTCGAATCGACGTGAGAACGTGACATACGTAATATAAATACAAATCGAATTTAAAAGCGTTTTTATTTATTTTGTACGCGAAGAAATTTATTAGAACTACCGCGGCGTCCGTGACTTATAACACTTTCTATACATACCTCTGAACGGACGCGCAGTCTCCTCGCTCGGCGAGCAACAGGAACTTTTTCTCGGTGGGCGACAGCACATATTCCGGCGGTAAAACGAAAGATTTCCTGTCGCCGCGCAGCTGCTCTTTGGAGCCGATGAGGTCTTCTTTGGACTGTGACTTTGTCATGACGAAAACCTGGAAACACAACACAACAGCATTGCGCAATGTGACCTCAAAAAAAAAAAAAAAAACGCTATCGTCTGGCATAATTTTTCATTACCGTTTCCCTGTGTATTCGCTCACGCTAACGGGAACCGGGTAAACTCCCAGAGGACCACACGGACGATTACCTGAAACGAACTGTGCCATAAAAAATAAAAAAAAAGTATATATAAAAAGAGAAGAAAAAAAAGGAAAGGAGAATATAATACAACGTCGAGCCCTGGACGCCGGCCGAAGCCTTACGGTCGTATTATCAGTGCACTTTTGCAGCTACGCGCGCCCTGACTGTTGACCCGCGTTTGGATTAGTACATACATGCGCGTGTGTATCGACATTTGAGCCAATCGTCAGCGGTCGACGTGTACGTATCGTTATTATTTATTTCATGTTTTAATCGTTATTGTTTTTTATTGTTTAATTGCTATTGTCGTATGCGTAGGTGCGCGGTCCTGCAGGGCGGAGTTGAAAGCGACAAAATCCGTTTTCGTAACGTGACGGCGGACGTACGATGCGAACTATAGGAGGAAGAGGAGAAGGGACGAAGAAAAAAAATGCTCGCCACCACCGGGCACGACATGAACATAATAAATTACCGCAGAAGGATTTAAAGAGCATTACCGTCGTTTCCTTTGCCCGAAAAGGATTTCCACCGCGTGTTGTCGCAACGGCGATGAAAATAAATAATAACGATAATAATCCGTGGACAATATTTACACACCCTGATTAGCAACAATGGGGCCGTGGTTGACACAATGCGGAGACGAGTGAAAAAGTCAGTTCACGTAGCACCGGGACGCGCGCGAAAGCTGTACCGTACACCACCTATCGGACTCGTCACGTCGCCCGGATTTGTCGGGGACGGACACGCACGCGGCGAGGAACAGGACGAGAACCGTACGCTTTATAATAAACGTGCCGGTAATAATAGTAACAGTAACCGTATACGGTATCGGTAGCGGTAACGGCGGTTAGCAGCGGAGACGGTAGATAATGACACGAGGGCCGTGCGTTTGTATCGAAGTACACTGGTGGGGGGAGGAGGGAAAGGCTAAGCGAGAGTTTTTCTCTGATCCCCCCCTCCCTCGGTTGCCTTTGCCCGGACAGGTTTGGACCGCGGTAATCGTCGGGTTCGACGTCGAAATTACACGCTCGGCGCGCGCGAACGTGCCCATTATGCAATTAGAGGGTGTATAAAAGTCCATTAACAGTCAAAGTTTCGGTCGAACTCGACGGGGGCCGCGCGTGGGCGTCCATGGTATCCGGCGTAATTGTCCGGCCGCGCTCACGAAATTAGTGCCGGTCTCGCGGTGGTGGTAATGGGGGGGGGGAACAGCGCTTCGTCAAAAGACGCTTTGGAAAGAGGTTCCGCGGACCCGCGACCGTATTCGTAACAATGCACGTCGTTTGTTTATCAATTACGGTCGCGCGTACCGCCGCGTCGCACGTCCCGTCGCACAACGCGGGCGGTCCGCGGGCGCCTTCAAAAGTTTCCCCGGCACCGGTTTTTTATTTTTCGTTCCTTTCCGATTTTTCCGTTTTCGGCCGTGGTCCGCTGGAAAACCAACCGCGCGACGACTATCGTCTCCCGTCCAACCTAACCGTTGCGGTCCAAGGGCGTATTAGAGGGGGGACGAAGGGGGCATTCGCCCCCCACCCCATGGCTCGTATTTTTTTTTTGAATATAATACGTTGATTTATTTAAAAAATGTAATGTATAAATTATTAAGGATATAAATTACTACTAAAATTACTATGTAAATTATTTTTAAGTTTGTATTGAAAAAGGTTAGGTTAGTTTGCGTTGAAAAATCAGTTTCAACCCGGCCCCCATGTCCTCAACTCAAATACGCCCTTGTCGTGGTCGACGGAAAAAAACACGAATTCGACGTCAATTTTTCACCAATGCTCCTTACCCTGAGGTTAGACACAAAATGCACAAGAACAAAAAAAATCGGTCAACATCCGCCACGCATTCATAAATATGAATAAGCATACAATAGTTTACACTTCAGTACTTAACACTATACATAGTAAGAAATAATTTACACATTACATGCCGATCAATAAAATCAGGTCATTTGATTTAACGAATTTAATTTTCTGGTTAATTTGAATGGGTTTTCCAGTAGTCGATCGAAGAACATAAATTGTTATCGATTATGAATAATATTAGTTTTAATTACATTATTACTATTATCACCCCGTCACATTTCACATGATTTCAATTATTATTCTATGATCAAAACGATTATGAATTTAATGTAGACAAGAGTGAGCAAATAAAATAACTAAATCAGTTTTTAACAAAACCTAAAAATAAATTATAATTAAAAAAATAAACCACCTGTTTGCTTAATTTAGGGCGAGTTTTTTAAAATTTCGATGTGTTCGGGTTATTTATCATAATACTTTTGGGAAAGTAATTTTAATATATTGTAATGTGTTTGGACGACCTCTTTTGATATCTTGCAATGCGTTTGGGTAATACACTATTAATTCGTGACTTCTATGGGTATGATTAAAAAAGGACTATAATATTACTATTATTATAATATTAATATATATTTTTATAATATTCATGTTTTTATATGTTAGTTAAATTAAAATATTTATCCTACATTCGTTTTGCTTGACATTTTATTCTTATGCGCTTTATATACTCTAAAAAATTAATATTATTTGACATATACTCTTCCCAACATATTGTCTGATTTCTAACATATATAAAAACCAATGGTTAATAGCAACAAATGTTATACTCGCAAAACGCATTGTTTTTTTTTTTTATTCGAGAAAAAAGGTAATTCGCCCAAACGCATTATGCTACTTAATTTAATATCTATTATCTATCGACGAAAAAATCGCAATAAGATAAGTATAAGATAAGATATTCTGGCTTTATCTAAATAAAGGTTAAAAGATCATTTCCACGTTATCTAGAAAGTGCCAATACCGATTATAACTGTAATAACCAACAGTGTGCAATGCCCACATGATCTTTTGTAAAATTATTATAATTAATTATAGTATTACATAGATACTTACAAAATCGTAATGCATGTAGTACTTACTTACAACTCACAGCTCGTACCACAAAATACACAATTTTATTGTTTCAATAATGATAATAATGAAACACAATAGGCACAATTAATTTTTTTTGCTATTATATACAATATTTTATTAATAATACAGTACAATAGATTCCTTCCGGTTTGATTCGACTAGTTTTGCGATACGAACTTGTCATAACACGTGACGGAACCCCTGACAGAAATACTGTACGTATTATAATGAGTTTATATAAAAATTGGGTTGGTCGTTGGAGGGTATGGTGTTATATTAAAATTGTTATTACAGTCATAATACTGATCGCTAAATGTGTGGGTTACATATTAACCTATACACGTAACCACATAATCCGATTTAGGTGACCGAGGAAAAATAACAACTTAGAGCATAGGTAATAATCGATAAACATTTGTATATAATATGTGTATGAGCGTGAAAAAACACTTGAACTTAATATACATTTTAGGTTTCGTTGTACACTAAACTTTATGATCATCGTTAAAAATAAAATCAAGAACGAGATACAGAAATTGGTAGACTGATATAAAAAAAATTGTTCTTATACATTTGAAATCAATGCACTATTTGTTTCAGAAAACGATTTTAAGTAAAGTTTGACAGCCGGATCAGTCCCATATGTCTAAAAATCATTTATTTAATGTATATTATCAGGCTTAAATAAATCATCTTACCACGCAGTTTTCTAGAATATTATATTTTAATTTAATAATAAATATTTAAAGAAAGAAGTGTAACTCGAACGTATATATTACAGCGATGTGTGATATTTTACTTTAATATCATCAGTTCATTATGTTACCAGACTTACGACGATTGAGCGCAGAAAATCGAGTGCGGGACAATTAAATACAGAAATTAAAAAAAAAAAACATTAAACGTAAAATAAATATATGAACAATTAATTATAATACTCTTAATATAATTAAAATTAATATATAATACAGCACACAGTGAAAATAAAATAAAATTCATAATCAATAAATTAAATATTTTCAATTATCCCGCCTTTCTCAACATACCTATCCTTTTATCTCAAGCCTCTACTCCCACTCAATTCCCGACAACGAAGGCTAAAACAACAATGGCCTAGGGACTTTCTTCAATTGTATTTATACTAATTTTATATTATTCTGTATTTTATATATATATATTTTTTCTTTTTTTTCTATCATTTAATGTGCAAATATAATAATACACGCCGAAGCGCTATCAATGGATAACGCCTTCAACTCATGTCCTCAGCACCTTTTATGTACACCCCACCCATTTTTTTATTGAAACTATATGTAAAAGATTAAAAAAAATAAAATAAAAATGTATTTATTTATTATTTTTTTTCAACAATTTTATTCACAATCCGTATTTAATAGATTTTATCGAATTCCGTTCTTAGAGCATTCCGTTTTAATTAATAACAATACTCAAAGAGTAAAAAAAATAACACTTGATTTGGCGGTGCCATTAGTTCTTTTAGATTAATTTTCTGAACAGTATTTTTCTATAAGAAGACATTCGGTAATTGGTTGGTATCTGTTTCATACTATGCAATATTATATCATATAATAATGTATAAAATTCCCAGAATTTAAAGTATAATAATGTTTTATTTTAATTTAAATATTTTAAATTATAATGAGTAATGAATGAATAATTATTAATAATGAAGATACAGAACTCAGAACAGCTTGTCTATTAAGTTAATTTTTTTTTTACTCAATTATCGTGTTTTGCTCAATTATAACCAGTCTATCCTTAAAGGTCCCGTTTTCATTTTTCTGCGCTTAGGATACCAACATCACTACTAAAATGATTTTGGTTTATTGTGACATTGTTTGACTTGAGGTTTATCAGTTTTAAGAGAAAGTGATACTTAATAACCTGACGCGGATTTGACGCTCCTTGAATCAACTACGATAAGAGTTACAGTACGGATGCATACATGCTAGTATGTGACGTGTGACCGTACTCATGTTCGTGGATCTATAAATAAAATGATCGTTTATTTACGATGTTTTGGCACCAAAACTATATTGTGTGGGTTAAAAGCATCTAGGGTAAATTAGGTAGAGATTCCTTTTTTTTTTCTTTTAAAGATGATAATTTTCTCTATGAAGAAACGATTTTATTTTTTCGATAACTTTTTCAATTATTTTTTTTAACATAAAACTTGAAATTTTACAAATGTCAACATAATAATAACTTTATTTTAATTTTCGTTAGTAAAAAGATAAAAAATGTTACATCACAGATAATGTTTTTCTCTTGAAATCAAAATAAAAATAAATAAATAAAAATTAAACCTCAATTATGAATTTACACTGAATGATTTTGTCCTGAGTATAACGTATTTTTACGATTAAACTACATATATATATACTCTTAATCAATTATCTATTAATAGTTTGAACAATTCCAAGAATAACATCGCCAAAGTACCATTTTCCATCAATACAGAGAACAATTATATGAAATATTTGAAGCATTATTTCCACTTTTTCTTTTAAGCCATCCGTCTACAATTCAGTATTTTTACGGGCCAGACAAAAATAAATACAGAATTTTGGATTTTCTTATTTCCAAGACAGTTATTATGTCTAACAAAAAATAACCTAAATTGTTTGATAACGTATTACTTAATTTTACATGTAAATAAAATATTAAAAAAATATGACTTG